ATTTTTATTTTATAAGTAACTAAAACTTTTTCTTATAATATAAAATTAAATATTGCTATAATATAATTTTTATTTTCAAATATTATCAAAAAAAAAATTATTTAAATATATTAAAATTTAAAAAAAGTAGATTATAACTATATTTATGATAATTTTCAAAGCAAATTTGTCTAGAAAAGCTTACAGATTAAGGGATAATATAAAAAATTTTCAAGTGAATATATATTTGCAGAATATAAAATATGTATTTAGCACTAATGATTTTATACAGCCAAGACAAAAACATGTATTTATAAAGGTATTGCATTTATAAAAGTTGTATTTAGAGAGGTTTAACTATATTATAGAATTCTTTAAGAATAGAAACCTAAAGATAGCCTATTTTATTTCTTTTAATAAAATATATATTTTATTTATAAATTATTATCTACCTAAACTAATACAAACAGAAGAGTATAGTTTCTAATCAAAGTAAAAATTATACTTACTTGTTGAATATTACTATAAATTTGTAAAGAATCTTTGTAGCTATATTATTGTTATAGTACTGCTGTTAAGAAAGCCATATATAGTATTGTAACAGTATCTTTTTAAACTTTTAATAATTTTAACAAATTTTTTATTATTATTTTTAAAATAATACTTCTAGTTTAGATACTAAATATATCAAAAATCTACTACAGTACAAGTTAAACCCTAACACAACCTATTTAAAGAATACTTGCTTCTTAATATTTTATATCTTCTAAATTTTGTTAACAACAATTTACTTTATATTAAACCAAAATTATTATCCACTTTGGGTTTTTCTATAGCATTTTTTTGTAATTTGATATTTTTGTTTTCTTTATTTTAAAAATAGTTTTTTTTTTAAATTTTTATAAAATTATTTATTTTTAAAATTTTATCTAAATTAATTTTTTTATAAAAAAATTATTTTAATAATATAATTTTTTTTTTAAACTCTGCTAATCTAAACATTAAAATGAGATGGTTTTTTTCTTACTTCTTTGTTATTTGAGAATAAATAAATTATTATAACAATTAGCTCCAGTTTGAAAACAAAGATAGTTGTTATATAATCAAAATCTATTAGTTTTGTAAAAGAATTTTTTTATAAAAATTATAGTAATTTAGATTTTTGGTTTAATTAATGGTTTTTTATAAAAAAATTTTTTTAACAATAACTTGTAAAATTTAGTTTAGTATATAAATTAATAATCTATTTTTAGTGTTTTCTTTTATATAAAAGTTTGTGATTAAAAAATATTATATTTTTGCGCAGTATATCGAAATACATAAACGATTACGAGAAAAATTAAGACTTTGACAATGATCGATTTTCGGCACCATATTATCAATGACTACGTCTATCTATACTCGCCGCCCAAATCCAAAACCATTATAGTTTTGATTGTCCACGCCCAAATCTTAAACTACTATGGTTTGGGTTTGTCCACGCTCAAATCCCAAACTCTGGCCAAACTAATAACTCAAAAAATTTATTATCTAAACAAATGGCAAATATTCTTATAATTACGTAGAAATATATTTGTAAAATATCGATATTATTTTTTTCATTTAATTTTTATAAATGACATTATACAATGACGTTTTATCTTTTTTATTTATGTAAAATAAAACAATATAAAATACGAGTGTGTCCAGCAAGGGTTTCCAGATTATAGTTTATTATTGGAAGATTTATTTTTTTTTTTCTTTTTTTTAAGATAATAACCGACTTAGCGTATCAAAATTATCAACTTAGTTAAGCTTATAAGTTTTTAATCGACTACAAATATTAGTGAGCAATGATTTCTTGATCATCATCACCTGCCATTGTAGGAATGTTCATTCCAGGAACAAGACCATTATTATTATTGTCATTGTTAACCTGCTGAGGTTGTTGTTGAATAGGTATTTGCATATTACCTCTAAATATATTATTTGTTTGATTTACCACACCACCTGCAGACAATATCTGTTGCTGTGATGGCATAGGTTGGTTATCAGCAGAAACAAAATATATGTTTTGCATTGGTGGAGCCATTACGTGTGTTTGTGGTGGAGGATGACCTTGTCCAATTGGAATCTGCATACTATTCATTCCATTTAACGAGTTAGGCATTACACCATAAGGAGGACCCATTGGCATTGGACCAACTCGTTGA